TATCAGCAGAAAAGTGCTGTAGAATCATGACTTGAAACAGCACAGCATTGACAAATGTGGAAAGTTAAGTGTGGAAGCGACAACAGGCTTGTATAAGTATGTGCCAAAAGTATTGCCTTGGATTACATCAGAGTATGTCAATTGCGGTCCATCTGGGCAAATCATTCAGTGGAAACACCTTTAATAAGATGTTGAGATCAACAAGTTTGGTCCTCCTGAGCAAAAACATCAAAGGAAGCACCTTGGATATATAGGATAAAGAAGAAAAAAATTACAGGTATGAGCATGATTGTGAGGGTTTTCATAACCAACCCATTGTCAACATACATGTCATACATTGTCCACATATGTAGCAGGCTGTAGTACTGAACATAGTGATAGTGAGCCATAGTATGGTGTCAAAGAAAACAAAATAACTATGCTTGACTAGGGTTGAAGGACAATGAATTGTATATGAACAGTCCGTCTGGGCAAAAAAATCCAGGGGAAGTACCTTGGGATATGTCAAATTATGCAAGTGTAGTCCCTCCGGGTAAAAAACATTCAGTGGAAGTGTCTTGCATAAAATATAGAAATCAACAAGTGCAGTCCACACAGGCAACACCCAGGGATAAGCACCTTGCATACCTATGATAAAGCCATGTGCTGTCCACCTGGGAAGCACCTTGGGGTACACATCAGACTATGCCAAGTGCAGTTTATCTGGGCAGAAAACATCCAATGGATGTGCATTAATAAGAAATCTTTTACCAACAAGTGCAGTCTGCCCGAGCAAAAACATCCAAAGGAAGCACCTCTTGTATAATTATTTTTTGGTATAGCAATAAATATAATGATGAGAGCACTCTTCTCACCAAGTGGGTATACAGGACATATCAAGTCCAACTTTGTTTGTTATACAAAATCCACTCAAGAGGAAACCACCTTGATCTACCACTCTAGTGGCTAGAAACCAGAAAAGAATGGGGTTGGAAATACACATTGAGGAGTCTGGAGGAACAACACACCATAGACAAAGCAATAGGTGTCTGCGATTCCCCGTTTTGAAAAGCAGGAAGACATGATTGGAGGAATCATGGATCTGTAGGAATGGACAGAAATTCTCATATTCTTTACTCACAGAAGTCCATGAGTGACAGTCCTTTATATGAAATAGAAATATATATATATATATATACATGTACACACACACACATG